CCGAGCTACTGTGAATGGGAATATAGCATTCGAACAGAAATATAAGCCACGTACTATGATTCCAATTTCCGAGCGACTCGATTCCTAGTGGTACCTCTTGCTACATCATATCCTTCCCGGAATCCCAGTGCCAACATGATGCCTTTGGTGCTGCCTTCTCTGTACCAGTCGCGGCAGACCCCAATTCCCTCTGTGTTTGCGAGTCGCGGACGTCAATTCCTGGAAAAAGTAAAGGCGGAAGAAGAAAAAGAGTTTGTGACCATCACAGCTTCAAGTGACCTTCACGCTGAGCAGATCAAGAATCAATGACTCTGGATCAGTTTGGGCTAGTTCACTCGTTGGCCCTGAATGTCGCTGCTATTGCTAACCCATTTTCAGACACCCGTACCATCCAATGCACTACAGTGTCATTCCACCGACCCTCTGACGAGCCTTCATGTCAGGGGTCTCTTTCGTTGAAATTGTGGTGCACGAGCGCAGCACTGGGATGAAAAAGGCAAGCAAATGTTCATGAGAATATTCAGATTTAAACTTTGGAAACAAAGTTCAAACTCTATAGACCGAAAAACAACGAGGAAATCCCTTCGGCTTTTCCAGAGGCCACTGGAAAGGGACAAGTCAAAGTGGAATGTGCCGCGAACTTGAAGAACAAGGGCAGAGCTTGAAGGTAGTACTTAATAGTCCATGGATATTGTACTTTACATTTGCTTGCGTTCATCCAGGTTTACAACGAATCCCGAAACCGGGGATGTTGTTCCTAAAGAGGAATATCCAGCAAGTTGAGTGGGCGGACAGTGGTTGCGTGCGGATTCCTCGGCAGCGATGAGCATTTTGCGGCGAGGGGACTTTCGGCATTCCTGGCCCATGTGATGCCGAGAAATGCCGAGACGGCCAACAACAATGCCGACAGGTCTCAGTACGCTGTGGCCGCGAGGGTCGCCGGCTTCGTGCGGAATGTCAATTTCCCCCGGACGAGGAAGCGCTGTAAAATCGGTAACGTGGCCGGCCTCAAACGGGCCGTTAGTTCGATGACCTCATGGGTAAGGGCCGGGGTGAACTTTGAACCAAAAACCTCCTTGTTCCCAATCCTTGGATCACTAAGCCTTCTCTATGGTCTAGAATATAAACGCCGACGGTAGATTTCCAGGACTTTTCCACGACTCTGAACTTTCACAATGGCAGCCATTCCAACCATTACTCGCGAATTCCGACTTCCAGAGAGTGCCAGCTCATACGAGGGCTTGTCTTTGGAAGAGGCACCAATTGCTCCTCCAAGTGACGGCCAAGTTCTCGTGAAGATCCACGCTGTGTCTCTCAATGTAAGCCTCAAGTTTCAGGCCTCTATCGGCATCTCTCATGGTCCTTCAAGTACAGGGACTTCGTAATCGCGAAGAATCTCTACCCTGTGAAGTAGGTATTTCAGCGCAGATAATCGTCAGTTGACAAAAGTTGCATGCAGACGTCCAAACAATCTGGTTCCATGCTCGGATATGGCTGGAGAAGTCGTCGCTGTCGGTAAATCTGTTACCGAATGGAAGAGTGGCGACCGAGTCTGTGCGAACTTTGCCACCGACCACATCTACGGTGATGTCACTGTGGCAATCCAAAATACTGGCCTAGGTGGAGCGTGCAACGGTGTTTTGACAGAATACAAGGTTTTCAAACCACATGTGAGCAAGACATTCCTTCTTGAATTAATGCTTGACTACCAGAATAGTCCTTGGTCGCCATTCCGGACCATTTGTCTTATGAAGAAGCTTCGACTCTACCGTATGACTTGGCGTTCAATCTTGGAATTTAAAATTAGCTTATGCTGATTCTAGATGCGCCGCTCTAACTGCTTATAATGCATTTATGGGTCCTATTCCGCTCAAGGGCGGCGATACTGTTCTCGTTCAAGGGACTGGCGGCGTCTCAATGTAAGCCTTATTTCCTCAAGCTTCCGGATCCTACTTACAACAGGCGACAGCTTTGGTCTGCAAATGGCAGTAGCTTCCGGAGCGACTGTCATCGCAACGTCGTCTTCTGATGAAAAACTCAAGATCGCCAAAAAGCTTGGAGCAAAACACGTCATCAACTACAAGAAGACTCCGAACTGGGACGAAGAAGTGCTCAAGATTACCGATGGACGTGGCGTTGATCACATCTTGGAGGTCGGAGGAGCCGGTACTCTCGAGAGATCTATGAAATGCGTGAGGGTGGCAGGCTCTATCTACATCATCGGGCTCTTGTCTAATGTAAGACTGTTTTCGTTTTCACCTTTCATAGGCTGATGGCTACTTTCTACAGGCCGAAGGCCTGAACATTGTTCCATATACCATCAGGAAGGCACTTAACATTCGAGGGATTCAAATTGGGTCGGTTGCCCAGTTCAAGGACATGAATCGTCTTCTGGAAGCTCATCCAGAGGCAACCCGTCCAGTAATTGACAAAGTGTTCCCTTTCGAGGATGCTGTCAAGGCCTGGGCCCACCTCGAGTCTCAAGCGCATCTTGGGAAGATAGTCATTAAGGTTTCTGACAACTAGACTGTTTCTACCGTCATCTCAGCTCGAATATACTGTTCCAATGGAGTGTTCAATATGAATCCAACATCTATGACACTCTCGAAGGCCGTGGGAAATTTGTACTGTAGTTTTGCAATTGTGCCACCGGCCTCAGTTGCGTCGCATTCGTGAACCACTTTCGTGTCTTGCAACCAGCGGCTTCTGGCAGGAATCTGGATCTTCTTCAAGTTAAAAGGATCACTGGAGTTCACACGATCGATTCGCTTCCGTCCTTCCGCAGACCAACAACAGTCATATTCGTTGGATCATTGCCTTGGATCACCAATATCCCGATAATTGCCGGTTCAATGTTTATTAATGCTTATTGAGTCTTCACTAGCGGAGTGCTTATCTGATTTTGACTGGCACCCGGCATATAAACGGCGATATCGAAATTCTAGGACTTTCAACCACTGAACACAATGTCCCCCATTCCAACCATTACTCGAGAATTCCAGCTTCCAGGTGACGGTTCATACGAGAACTTGTCTTTGAGAGAAGCACCGATCGCTCTTTCAACTGAGGGTCAAGTCCTCGTCAAGATCCATGCTGTGTCTCTTAATGTGAGCTCAAGTTCCATTCATGTCCCGAACGGTAACTCTAATAATGGTCGTTCAAGTATAGAGACATCATGATCGCGAATGGTTCCTATCCTGTCAAGTAGGTATTCCATCCCAGATATTCGTCAAAAGTCGATCCATCGCCCAGGCTTCCAGATAATCTCGTACCATGCTCCGATATGGCTGGAGAAGTTATCGCTGTCGGAAAAGACGTTACAGAATGGAAGAGCGGCGACCGGGTCTGCGCCAACTTTTGCACCGACTTCATCTACGGTGATGTCACCCCGGAAATCCAAGCTACTGCCTTAGGTGGTGCTATCAACGGTGTCTTGACAGAATACAAAGTGTTCAAGCCCCATGTAAGCCTTTTTTATTCTGCTTCGAATGATGTTCACTCAACCTATTAGTCCTTGGTCGCCATTCCTGATCATTTGTCTTATGAGGAAGCTTCGACTCTACCGTATGGCATGGTTTCCAGCCTTGAGTCTGAACTCATTCTCATTCTAGATGCGCCGCATTGTCCGCTTATAATGCCCTCTTGGGTCCTGTTCCGCTCAAGGCCGGTGATACTGTTCTCGTTCAAGGGACCGGTGGAGTCTCGATGTAAGCTTCGAGTCTTTTCAGAGAACTCGCCCTAACATCGATCACTGTCGACAGTTTCGGTCTACAAATCGCAGTGGCCTCCGGAGCTACTGTCATCGTAACATCGTCTTCTGACAAAAAACTCGAGGTTGCCAAAAAGCTGGGAGCAAAACATGTCATCAACTACAAGGAGACTCCCAACTGGGATGAAGAAGTCCTCAAGATCACCAATGGACGTGGAGTCGATCACATCTTGGAGGTATCTTGACTCAGTCTGGTCGCCATTTCTCATTCTGATTTGTTCTTTAGGTCGGAGGGCCCGGTACTCTCGAAAAATCCATGAAATCTGTGAGGGTCGCAGGCCGGATCCATGTCATTGGGTTTTTGGCTAGTGTGAGACTTGCTCTTCTTTTCGCCATTCATGACCTGAAAGCTAGAGATAGGCCGACTCTCCGAACATTACTCTATATACCATTATGAAAGCAGCGACCCTCCGTGGGATCCAAACTGGATCGGTTGCCCAGTTCAAAGATATGAATCGTCTTCTAGCTGCTCATCCTGAAGCTACCCGTCCCGTCATCGACAAAGTGTTTCCATTCAAGGACGCCGTTAAGGCTTGGGCCCACCTCGAGTCTCAGGCGTTTGTAGGAAAGATAGTTATCAAGGTTTCCGATAACTAGGCTCTACCGAACGTTCGAGTGCCACACAATAGAGTGATATGTATTGAATCTATGCCGAATATAGATTATAACTTGAAGATCTCTAGTGGCATAATAGTCAGACAAGATGATAATTTTCGCTCTTTCCATGCCAAGACAACCACTCAATACATTAATTACAGTAGTTCCTTATTTTAGGCCTGCATTATCCCCACGACCTGGAATGAGTACAGTAACTTATTGAATGTGAGTCAAATTGGCTTGGGACGAAATTTCGCTAATACGTCACACCTGTGACATGTCACCTGCGGCCACAATCGAACTCGAACCCTCATTGAAAGGCGAAGAAGAACTAGTGGGGCTGCCAGGAGCAGTAGGACGAAGCGGCATGGTGTGAGTATTCTGTGGCGTCTATATGCGGTTCAGAAGACAACGGGGCCAATTGGGGTGGTGTGGAAGTTTTCTTGACATCAGCGCATATCGGTGAGATGGTTTTCCGTGCGTCAGAAGGAGGAGAAACGCCGTGGCGTTGTCCTAATGGGTAAGAGATTACAAATTGGGAGTTGCTGAATATATGCACTCTGGAAGAAAATATTTTCGGATAACAAGGTCGGGAACCTTCTAAACCTGAAGGTATTTCATTTTCCCTTACTATGGCAAGATGGCCGAGCGGTCTAAGGCGTGTGACTCAAGCGTAATAGCTTACCTGTTATAATCGCGGGTTTTCAAAACTTCTCATCTTCGTATGAAGGCGTGGGTTCAAATCCCACTCTTGTCATCCTTTTTACGTTATAGGAACTATTCCCATAATGTTTTCCTTTAATATATTGAAACAAGCGACCAAAGAGACCAGGAGGAAACTGCAAAAAAGCGAAAATACAATTTTGGAAGGAAAGCGATCATTTGTCATCATCGTGACAGATGTGACCACCGTGACGACATTTTTCCCATCATGTACTTTACCCCCAAGCCGTCTCTGTGGGTCGATACCAACCCAGAAATTGAATTTCAAAGAGAAACGGACAACTTTTGACCCGAGTCCGACTTGTAGAACCTTTCAGTCAACTTTGGAATTGGCGCCCAGCCTTGATCAACTCAGGAATGCTGCCATAGATGAGGACCATGTCATCGCGCTTGTAACACTTCCGAGTCTCCGAACACCGCTCCGCTTCCTCCTCCCAATCGAGACTCTATCTCCCGCAACAACGTCCAAGTATCCTTCGTTGACTGGATTCAACCGACTGACCTGATATTCAATCTACGCCACACTGTCTGCGCCCATCACATTATTCCGACATGCTACAAGTCATGTTGAATAAGACTTCACCAAGACTCTCTCATGAGCGTCTTTCGCAGCCTCAGCTACTACCTCGTCCCATTCTTCGGCAGACACCTTGGGTCTCCCAGCATCATCCCACTTTTCTGCAAGCCACCATACACTTGCACGATCCTGGCCACTCCACATCCTAGAAGGAGAGTCAGTTCTAGCCAAACAATTACGTCGCATACGTGTGTACCTTTCATCGAAATATGACAGGAGACGAAGTGAGAGCTTGTTGAGAGGAATTCCATTCTCGATCATCTGGGGAGCGATCCATTTGCCGATCTTTGCATCTTCTAGACTGATGAAAGACACCAGTCTCAAGCTGGACCACCAACCCAGCTTCACTGCGATCAGCTGAGCAACAACCGACTGGATGTTGCGAGAATACAAGAAATAGACAAGATCAAAGATCTCCCGCTCTTCAAGGCAGTCTGGGTCGCTTTGATACCGGACACAGCGACCAGCATCTATCCCCTCTCGGAGATGGTGGTAGTTGGGGAGTAAGGAGTAATCTGGAGCGAGAAGATTGAGCTTTTCTCGACCTAAATGCGGAGCAGCAGAGACGAGTGTCACTGTGGAACTATCTTTGGCATCATGATAGGGTCGTTTCTCGGCACGAGGAAAAGGCAGAACCAAGCTTTGCTTCCGACCAGCTGGACCGCGAACGTAGGCTGTAAGAGCATCTGCAAGCTCATGCGGTCCAGGGACGCAGATCAGCTGCCATCGGGGACTTTGAAGAGCTCCAGAATGGCAGGAATTGCAGATGAGAAGGATATCACCTTGACATTGCGCTACTGTGATCTCCAACTCGCGTTTCGAAATGTAGCCCTCAGCCTTCCTATTCGACTGCGTCGAGATACAGAGCAGGAATTCGCCTTGGGATGTGCGAGCTCCGCGACCGATGAGAAGCAGAATCAACTTCTCTCCTGGTTTGATTTGGAGAGCAGCAACGGTAATGTTACAGATGCAGAGGGTGCCGAACTCTTTCGCAGAAAGCTGACTGTCTTGCTCTTCGATATGGTCGAAGAAACAGGGAGGTATTGGGAACTGTAGCCGGTCGCAGCCAGCTTCTCCAAAGATGAATGTTCTGTCTGGGAAGTGACACAGAATATCTCGAATTGAACAATGCTGGAATCGCGATCTATCGAAGCCAGGCTGCGAGGCAAGCAGCGCGACGAACATCACATAGTCAGTTACCATCCAACCCGCGTCTGATATGGTCAACGGCCCTGCAATGGATAGGACAGAGACCAATACCAAGGTCGACGGCGACTCGGAGTTAGAGGAAGGTGTAGCTGGAGGGGAAACACTGTCACCAAGATCTTAGCTCATGCCAAGTCGAAACCTATAACGCACGAGAAAAGCGAGTTCGTCGCTCGTTTCTTTTTCTTTAGGAATAGTTGTGAGAAAGGGGCAAACCGACTTGTCGATGAGCGCGCCTGTGGGACAGTTCTACAAAAAATGGTTAGCAGAGCTTGAAGATGAGGGCCAAATAGAGCACACCTTGAGCGAGAGCCACATAAACGAAGGGTTTTGAATAGGTATTTTGGTAGCGTAGAATGTGATCTGAGTGACGATGGGTGACAGTTAGAACAATTAAATACGCAGATAAGCCAGAACGCACTGGGATGGATCCATGTCGGTAGGAATGTAGTGGTCGGAGAGAAAGAGAGAAAGGAGTTTTCAAATTTTCATGCCAACGACGTCACGATCGTCCGGAGATTTCGGCCTGTTGGACTCGGCGGAGCTCCGTTCATGATCAAGATTCTCCAGTGTCCAGCTTTGCCCGCCTCATCCGAAAGTAAAGCACTCCTCGAAAGAATCACCCACGAGATGTTGGAAATGGAATGATATCTCGGGGTATTGTACGCTTGTAGTTTTAGAACAGAAAACCCGCCAAATTATATCATATTGAGCAAAGATTCTGCATCTCGTCTATCTGGGTCAAAGAATTAGACCAGAGCGACGAAATAAATGAATCTCTCACCCACGAGCGACAGCAGAACGAGCAGACTGATTCAGAGAATCAAGAGGTCGCATCGACAAAGGTGAAGAGAGATTCGCAGACGTGAGCCGTCTTGAAGAAGTTGAATCCGAATGAAATATGCTTTGCAGTCTGGAAGAAATCCAGGAAACATTACGCCGACTGCGGGCGGGCATCGACAGCGAAAGTGATGTCGCAATCTCTATCAGGAATTTCCTCCGACATTTGCAAGCCACTTGATTGCTGGGAACAGAACTTGAATACTATTCTAACGCATTGTACAGTTGTATGCTTACAGTCAAGGCGAATTGTATCTAGCGAGAAGTAAAATGTTTTGGACAAAGTTACCGTGTGGGTTCGTATCTCGTCTGTGGGAGCAAAGAGTCAATCAAAGTTACCAATGAAATTGAATCAATGTTTACCTTCCACGTCAGCAGTCGACGATTGCAAGAGCCAAAAGTCGTCAGAGCGTCGTCGGTGTCGAAGAGATTTCTCTGACGCGGTCGTTGGAAATCGAGGATGAAATCGAGAAACCACTGCAAAGAATCGAGGGAGAAATGGGAAATAAGGGAAAAACTGACTTCCGCTGGGATGCTGGACGTAGATGGCGGTCGTGAGCTTGATTGACGGTGGTGACCAGGAAAGACGATGTCGATGCAGGTCATACAGCTGCCGAGTGGAAGCGACTGGAACTGTCATTCTGAATAAGGCGAGGAAAGAGACTGTAGGGCTCGCCTACGAAAGAATGGGTAAGAGCCTCCTTGTACGACCGGGCGACCACGCACTGTGCATTTCTCCAAGCCCGCAATTCTCCTTGTCCTTGCCATTAATGATCACAACTCAGTCGCAGCTTCAACGAATTTCATAACAGGGTTGTTCAAGGATATTGATTGGTTACTGAGAAGAACATGACAAGGTGCTAATACAATCTGAAGAACAATGGTCAGCCAGTATTCAAAATAAAGGCAGGTAGAAATCAGGTAGCGATGCATTTCAACAAGCATCTTGTCCGCCTCCACTTTGTACACTGGGAGACTTTGGTATGGACGAAGATGCATTGTGTCCGCCCATCGAAAATCTCATCACGATATGCGGAGGACCCATCAAAAAAAGAGCTGAAAAAACTCACCATAAAATTTTATTAGAGGCCGACAAGTAGAATGAGGCTAATACTGAGGGAGAGGTCAGAACAAGTCGAGTATATAGCAGAGAAGGCTCAGACAAGGCTGAAATCGATAAAGTATTCCACATGATGTTTTAAGAATGTGGTAAAGTATGGTATAATCTTGGATCATCACCACAAGCCGCGAAGGAAATCTACTCACAAGGAGACACGGTGGAGAAAAGACGAAAGAAATCCTGCAGTGAAAAGCGCGCGTCAGTAAGGAATGGATGCAAGGAGAACAAAACGAAGAGAGAAAAGTGAAAAAAAGGTCAGAAGTAGCGGGCCAAAGGCCCGTAAGGTAGCTGAGAAGTTTCTGCAACGTAGGGGCGCCCTACTAAAGCCAAATGCCTCAAACATCATATAGGAAAGAGAGGGAGTTCAGACAAGACGGGAAAATTACACACCTTATGTTGGCGGAAGGACCGCGGTCACGGCTGTGACACTTGGAAATTTTCCGGTTTATAAGAATATTTGAATCGGCGACTGAACATTCGACCTCAGAGCCCGGAAACATCCGAATGCTGAGTATTACAATGTCGAAGCTCTGATCATATCGTCCATCAAACCCTGCGAGTCCGTGCTCCATTTCCAGTTCTTCTCGATCCTGTCTCCCAGATCCTGGTACATCTCTTGGGTGAATCCCTCATCGTTGGGGAGGATATGTTCAAAGTCTGGATGAATCAGTTCATAAATCAGTCCTTGAGCCCGGGTGTTCGTCAGAAGCATATTGCCATATGGCTGTCGTATTGTATTGTAGCGTTGGAGAACTTCTGGGACTCTCTCAGGGGTGCATTTCAGGCGGGATATAGCCCGTCCGAGAATCCAAGCGTCCTGAATTTTGGGTGAGCTATAAATTTCAAGCTGATATCGCAAATTGCGGACCTCTATGGCTTGGCAAGCTCCAGCAGCCAAGTGAGGCTCCATAGCGTGTGCCTGCAAGTTTCGGGTCAGTTTCCAGAGCTATTTGAAGTTGAAGGTCGACGGTCACCGCACCGCATCACCAAGAAGGGCGATTCTATGAGTCACATAGATTTCGAGGGGTTCCAGGGCTTGAATTGTCCAGTGAGTAGGTTTTTCTAAACACTATGGCTACTTTCAGATGATGTTCGACATCCAGGACAAGACGAACGCACATTCAACACGACTTGTACCTCTTTCTCCCAACCGGCGAATATGGACATGAGCTCTTCTTTTGTGGCGTCTCTCACTGTTGGGCCTTCTAGCGGCTTCCCGTAGTCACCTGGCTTGAAATAAACCGCGGCGACATTAATGATCTGTCGCTGAGCACCTATTGGATAGACGACG